CACAACAGGGCATGAGGGACAGCGACCGGGCCCATATTGAGCCACAACAGGGCATCAGGGACGGCGACCGGGCCCATATTGAGCCACATCAGGGCGTGAGGGACGGCGACCGGGCCCATATTGAGCCACAACAGAGCATAAGGGACGGCGACCGGGACCACATTTAGTCACAACAGGGCATGAGGGACAACAGCCGAGCACATATGAAGAAACTTCCATACTCCGTGAACATAGGGGAAGGGGGGGGGGGGGAGGGTCGTAATCTAGTCGGGATTAGACCTGGCAGCCCCAATAGCGTGTTTTCTAATGATCGTTTTTCGAACGCTTCTATGCCGTTCTCTCCCATAAAATAAGCCTAAAGACGTTTGCCAGTATGCCTCCTAGCCATACCCGTCATACCCGTCATACCCGTGGCTAAAACAGCTGTGGCTGGTCCAATAATCGAAAACCAGCCCGTATTTCCGTACCATGTTTTGCACCCAATAAGGACGACTTTTACTAACATTAGAGACTATTATCACCCTTACTGTCATGGAAGGCTTCTAACTGCTGTCCAGATGCGGACTACTTCAAACCGGTGATACGTATAAAAGAGCGGTCCGCTCAATGGAAGGGGAATACTTATGTGTGCAACCACTGAGAAGGATGGCAACGGATACATTCAATGTTAACACGCGCCCGGGCGGCCGGTTGGACACCCTTCGCTCGAGTGGAGGAGGGTCTAATTTGACCTCCCTGAGATCTCAAGAACTAACAGAGCTAGAGACACCATATTCACAGGGTGTGTTGACGTGTACATGATCTCACCTAGGTCAGAGCTTGGGATTCTTAGATGCCTTCGGGCCAAATAAGGTCAAACAATGTCAAATTCCGGGCTGTTCTCCGAAAGGCCCCTGGAACTTAAATACCTGTTCCAAGCAAAAGGTCGCATGCTCATCTAAGGTCAGTGACCTCGTTTGACCTTTTGAAGGTCATGGTGGCCAAAATCATACAAGATCGCTTTGCGTTTTGCATTTGGATAAGCGACATAGATTACGCTAGACAGTATGTTCCTAAAAACAAGATGTTGACCCGGATTATTCTAGGTCGGCGACCTATTTGTACGCTTAAGAAGTCTATGGAAGGTGCAAAATGCGGTTCCTGTCACCAATAAGTTCGAAATGAGCAACAGACACTACCCCCTACAACAAGCCCTACTAGTAATACAGCAGGTTGATTTTGACCTTGGTCTGACCTTCATACCTGATCTTACATCGATGTAATTTGTTCTTTCAATTGTTGTGTTACCCAAGAAAGTATCTCAGAGATGCATGGCTTCGTCTAACACTCCGTTGCTGGACCAGACTGAACGATTCCCTAGAAACTGTCTTCGCTGAAACCATGGCCTGATGTTGACCTGCCATAGGTCAGCGATGTTACAAGGTGCATCTAAATGTTTGATGCCACACGATCTGCCATTTAGTTGTCTACAATATGCAAAATTTGACGCGCCCACGCTCCGTCGTTCGGAAAACATTCAGGAAAACCATTCGGAGGGGTGTCAATCTGACCCCCATCCGAGCACATTTTAAGAGAGGCACTAGGAGTTTTGATTAGCAGAAGGGCGGGAAAGGCATATACAGTCTGATTTCACAATCTAAAATCTGATCAAAATCCACATGACAATCTGAAAGGAAAGCTAAGAGTGCATATGCTATGTTTTGGAGTGCTCCTCCTGTGCACCGTTATAGCCATACATAACCTTCATTTGTTTGCTATTTCGGACCGGTGCAGTTATCGTCCCAAATGCGTAGCACTGAGGTTACACCCGCGCAGACTTAAATGCAGGTAAAAAACGGCAGCTGCACTTCTGCAAGTCATTCTAGGAAGAAATTGTCCCAAAGGCTTATATTAGGGGACGCGAGCCACATAAGCTCTCCAATAAAGTTTTGATGATTTATGTTCAGTCAATGCCCATAGGGGCAACATACATTTTCAGAGAGGTTTAAGATTAGCCCCAAGCAGTAATCTTTTCACCCCGCCCATCCTCTTCCCATGCCCTGACCTTCAAGAGCCAAGAAATAATGAAAATTGGACCAGCATATGTTGCAAATGTGTATGTTACTTGTGATGTAGATGATCCTGGCAGTGTAAGGCCTTACAAACATGGTTAGTCGCACATCTAAAGACAAAACGTTAAGTATCGAACTTAAGACTATTGCGTGATTTCTTCGATATGTATTGGTGGCCCGAGACCGACTTGAGATTTGGGTGTGCAGAGCAGGGTGTCATCTTTCAAGGTCAAGGTCATCTTTTTGAGAGGGAAATTTCAGTTCTAGTAGGCAAGCAATGCCAACTGGCTCCGCAGGATTTAGGATTTAGTGACACGGCAAGCAGGATCTAGGGACGCGGCAACAGGATTTAGGGACACGGCAATTGATCCATTTATCATGCAGCACTGATGGTTGCAGCTAGCCATTTTACAATAGCATGAGGGGTTGCCTGTGTGAAGGAAAACCTGTGACAACCTTTGCCTGTGCCCCACATAGCATGCCTTAGGCATATTTCTGTAATTGTACCAGTTCTAGAGACATAAGAGCATCTTCATCATGCGTGTGCTGAGTCACACTTGACACCAGCAACTATGAAGACGTTCCCAACACTGACTGCCATTTGACGGGGGTGCAGTTCCCTTTTCAGTCAGGGGCTCCAGTCCCCCAAAATATTTGGCCTGCACCCTGACTTTGAGAACAAAGTGAGTCAAATCGGGGAAGAAGCAAACCCGTCTGTTGGTGTCTTTTGGGTGATGTGTTACATCATTTCCCACCACTTAGTTCGCTGAGGCTGAGTGGAGTGAGTTGAGTTGAGTATGAATTGCGGGCCCCCAACTCATCTGGCATCCCTGACCACTGACCACTAGTGCAGCGCTATCAATAATCTGTTCACATTACTATCATTGCTATAAAAAGTAGGAAATATCATGATTGATTGCATGGCAGTGATTGCATTTCAAGCATCAAAACATGGCAGCCGACAACCCAAAGACAACCAATACATGGCTTGATGCTGAAATTCCATGTTATGGTCCAGCTTATAGAGTCTAAAATTGTATTACTGGTACGAAATCGCATATACACATTCTTAATACAATGTTTATCAATGGACACACCTGGATGGACACAGATGGACCTTCCATAACAATCTGAATGTCATAGTGGTCCAAGGTCTAAAATTTAGGGGTTTCGTATGTTTGTAGGCTCTTTTAGGGCACAATTCAGGGAACATGATTACATAAATGTGGGGATATTCACCGGGATTGCCGAGCAACGAACGGCATAAAATGCCTGCGCTGCGCTGCGTACTGCCAGCAGAACCAGTGCGGTTTTGTTATGTCGCCTGAGGACCATAACTGTAACATTGCCAGATTTTGTCAAAGGCTTAGGCTATCAAGGATGCTAATCCAGATATTTCCTTTGACAGATTATAATGCTTAGCCAGATATTATATGTTTACCAATGATTGTTGCAATACTGCCACTAAAATTATTAAACGATACAAAAACGTAAAAAATAAATAATTGTTCCAATACTGCCATTGAAATAAAATTGGTAAACAGCAGCAGATAAACTCGCTGTGGCAGTGCCAATTTAAATCTGGTATATTCTGGTATTATCCCGTTGTCCAACCCGTTGTTGTAAGGTCTTGTGTGAGCAGGCTTCTGTGCACGCGCAGGGAAGCTTCACTCATCATCAGAATGGTCATTTCAACTTGCCCAGTGCGTATCTACTTCAAAGGTCGCAGGCGTTGGGTTCTGAACAAAATAGGAAGCTGTACTTACACCTTCGTGTCGCGCCACTTGCAGGTGACCTCGGCTTAACCCCCACATTCTCAGCCAGCTCACACTGACTACAAGAACGAATTCAATTCCATAACTGAGCCTCATCAAACGTGGCCCGGCCATGCGCTTTTGTGTATTGTACGCTGTGAATAAATATCTGGCAGCTCTGCTTCGCTCGGGCCATATTGCAAGTTGTTGGGATTTTCATTTAGTAGTAGATTTTCTTTGATGTCAAGCAGTGTTTTAGGAGGCCGGCGGTGGTCAGACATTTTGCGCAGTAGCAGGTGGCCGGCGGCGGTCGGACATTTGTAGTACCGCGCGGGCGGTTCTCCCGAACGTTCAGATGTTCCTCCCGAGGAGAGTGAGGGCTGGCTAGGGAAAGAAAAGGCTGGAAGTGTGTGTTCAGTGAGTTTTCTTAACATAAGTAAACATATACATGGCGCGCACACATGTACTTTTTCAGAAAGCGTCATCGTCAATTCGCCAAGCAACGGTGCATGGATTTGATGACGAATGACAGCCAGCCCACACGTTACTTGGCTGACCCGTCCTGACCTTGAGCTGTTTGACCTATGGCCGCCATGACCAGGCATTCAGAGCAGCGTCACCAACGGCACAGCGCAAGGGCGATAATCCCTTGACCAACAGGTCACGACGGTCACAGGTCAAGTAGCTCAAGGTCAGAAGAGGTCAACAAATGAATATGTGGGCCGGTTGCCGTTCATGATGTGCGAATTTTGTTGGGTGAAATGACAACAATTCTCCCCCCCCTTATTTTCTTCTTTTCTTTAGTTTATTGGGAGTAGTTGCTATCAGCGAAGTATTTCCGTCATGGCAGGCCGTTTTGAGTGGCTGATAACTGAGAGCAGAGCTCAGAAGACGAAAGCTGACAGCCACCACCCGTCTATTGCAGGGTAAGCTTGTGTAAGAAGACGTGACGGGTAACAGGCGACAGGTGATGGCGATGTCAGACACGGGGAGACAGGAGCACTGTAATTCCTGATGCTATCCTGACACTCTCCTGAAGCGATTTGATCCATGCTCCCGACTGTCTGGCCACCGCAAAGCGTGCGTCGGAACACGAATATCCTCCGCGCACGTCTGTGGGGCATGCGAATATGTCGCAGTCTGGTTCTGTGCCACGTGCTTGTGGCGAAGTCTTAGTAAATTGCCGACATTTGAAGACAGGTTACAGATTACATAACAATTCGCTGAGGTATGGCCTAAGCTGTGATAAACTTCCCGAAACAATATGTTACCGATAGCCCACAAGAGCAGCTCGAAACCGTAAACTTCATGCATATCGCGTACCATGCTGCCAGCAAAACTCAAACTATGCTTACTGTTGTAATCGCCCACACGCACATATAGACGCCCCAGTTCGTCTGGACGATCTACTGCGACGCTTTTTATTTGACGGCATGTTTCACAAACCCTTCACAAAGGCCATGGTTAGGTACAGCGCCCTTAAAAACAAACTACAACAGCGTCACACCACACGCGCAAGTTCCGGTACAAACAGCGCTGGAAGTTCCGCCCGACGGGTTGCCCTCAGGGCTTTTCCTGTCAAGCAGGCCGGCTTCCCTCGACGCCTCAGGCACCTCACAACCAAACAGGGCTAAACACGACTCGACAGGCCTGAATGCAACTGGACACCGCGCTCTCTGCCCAGCCGAATCAGCTGGAACGAGTCGCCGCGGCTCAGTCACACAGTCGGCTCTGCCGCAGTCGCCTCGGTTCAGTCGCAGTCGGTTCTGTCCTTAAGCCACCGCGGTTCAGTCGCAGTCGGTTCTGTCCTTAAGCCACCGCGGTTCAGTCGCAGTCGGCTCTGTCCTTAAGCCACCGCGGTTCAGTCGCAGTCGGCTCGGTCGTTCAAGTCGTCTCGGTGCGGTATACTGCGCTTTGCCCATCTGATCTGCCCACAGACGCACGCCGGGCGAGACTGACAAGATCTCAGGCGGACGCGGGTTGGTCCACCACATCACCACGGCGGCCGGAGACGCGGTGCCGCCAAGGCAAACACTGCAGGGCGATTGGTCAGCACAAGTGGGCGTCCTCCGCCAGGGTCGGTCCTCGTCTGCACTGACGCGCTACACGCACTCGCCAGGGTCAGTTCACGGCTGTACTTGCAGCGCTCGGCAAAAGGCGACTTCGCCCACTTAGCGTCGGTTTATGAACCCCGAGTTCCGTTTTTTTCAGCAAGGCACTCGACAACACATCCGCATTGCTTACACGATGTCGACGAAGCTGAAGCTGATGCTCCACAAGTCTCGCGGCTGAACGCATTCCCATAAAAAGCCGCGAGGCCTACACACGTTTGAATGTCGTCCGGTAGTTGCTCACGGGTTCACACCGCACTAAACGAACTGGCTTGGTCTCACAGGGTTGGGCCTAACAGATGATGCGCTTCGGTATCCGACAGGCCCCGCGCGGTCCTTCCGTCCGTGGTCCAGGCCCCACGCGGTCCTTCCGTCTGTGGTCCAGGCCCCACGTAGTCCTTCCGTCCGTGGTCCAGGCTCCGCGCGGTCCTTTCGTCCGTGGTCCGGGTCCTACGTCCGGGTCCTTCCGTCCGTGGTCCGGGCTCCGCATCGTTCTTCCGTCCCTCTGAATCGGTTCAGTACTCCTCCGCACCGTCCTTCCGTCCCTCTGAATCGGTTCAGTAATCCTCCGCACTGTCCTAGTCGTCACCAGCCTCGTCGGCTTGACGGTGCGATGGGATGCCTTGCCGCCGTCGCCGTCGTCCTGAAACAGTTCAGCTGGCGTTAGCGGGCGGCGCGTCGGCACAGCAGCGGGCTCAGCGCAAAAACCGACCGCTGTGTCCGCCCGAGGGCTCGTCTCGATGTGTACCATACGCTGTGCTTCTCAGTCTCGCTGCGGGCCTCTCTCCGTGTGTTGGTGCGGTGGCCGTCTGTGATGCTGGCTTACAGCAACAGTTGGCTTCAGAGAAGCATGCACTTCTCCTTCGCCCTACCTGATAAGCTGTCCCTCGCCGAGGGCTTGAGCAGAGTCACTAAGCCGGGGGGGGGGGGGGGGGGGGGGGCGGGGAGGCCGGGGAGTGGCTGAGTCGGTTTATCCCATGCCATACTATTGGAGCAAAGTGCAGTGACAGGTCATGGCAAGGGCAGACAGAGATAAAAAAAAAACCAACAGCAAAGCCACGGCAAGAATGCAATATCGTGACAGAACCTTTTCGAAGTTATACACTGATGGGTGGCGGCACGCAGACGTCATCATAAAAAAGGAACACGACGCACTTGGCCACGACCCTTTCGTGGAACGCCAGGGAATGCGTTGGCCTTACTAGCGCTCAAGGGCCATGGCGCTACCACGGGATGCCATGCGGCGGGAATGGCAGAACGGGACCCGGGCCTTCACGTGGGAGTCCAACACATTAACCACTCGGCCCATGTCCCTCCCCTCCCGGACAGGTCATCTTGACATCACAATTATGTGCCTGTACGTGCGACATTCAATGTCGCTTCTCGGGCTCCTTTATGACACTGCGATCTGTAGGCGTGTAATAAGTTAATAATTCATGTTTATTTTATATAATTAATAATTTAATAGCTTAATTGGTTAATAACCCTCACGCATGAGGGCAATCAACAGTTCAACTTTTTGACATGACATGACTTGCCTTGATCTAAGCACAGTAGCTGCTAAGTCGTGCAGTGTTGATGTGTTCGACACGCATTTACACACCCGTGGGGCCTTTTATCAAATGAAATATCACATGTAACTAAATCCATGTAAATTTTAACTTAACCATTACGCTCTAATAAAATTACGGCGTTAATCACAGAACCGAATTTATTAAGTTCCTAGTGTACGGCGGACACGTTTGTTATCAGAGCCTTTTAAATACTTTGTTAAAAAACCCGTGGTGTCATCGATGACTCCCAAGGGAACACAATTGGTTTTCCTAAAAAATTGCCGCGGCCGTTTGAACCTTTGTTTGGATAACGGTAAACAAATGGTTGGTCATGAAGATACAGGAGTGACTCGGCCAAATACTTCCACCGAGTCGCTGGTGTCACACCCCAGCGACCTCCGGGTCACTGACAGAGGGCTTGTCGTGAGGCACCACAGCTCGCCACAGCAGCGCTTGCCGTACGTCACCGTCAGACACCATCGCGCAGTACAGCAGCCCCTGCTGGCGCCTCGGCGGACATGTCTACTTCTGAGCAAAACATTGTCGGGTAAATTTGCGCCTTGAAGGCATGCTGTCGAACTTCTATTCCATTTCCTTTCCTTCCTTCCCGTCCCGTTCCCTTCTCTTCCCTTCCCTTCCCTTCCCTTCCCCTCCCTTCCCTTCCGTTCCCTTCCGTTCCCTTCCGTCCCCTTCCGTTCCCTTCCGTTCCCTTCCGTTCCCTTCCGCCCCTTCCGTTCCCTTCCCTTCCGTTCCCTTCCGTTCCCTTCCCTCCCCTTGTCCTCGCTCGTCACCTCTGACAGCCCCGCCTGTTGGGAACAACGCCGGACGCCGCTACTTCTTGCAGCAGCGCTTGTTGGGTGACTTATCGGGCACCAGCCGCAGCGCCATCTCCAGGGAGTCGTCCTCCCTCCGGAGCAGCATCTCGGCCATCAGCTCGATGACGGCGGTGACGCCCACGTCCCGGAGCGCGCTGCACTCGTGGTAGAGGGCGCCGCAGTCTGCCGCCAGCTTGGAGCCCGTCTCAGGCTTGACGACGCGCAGTGCCGGGTCCGGACACAGGTCCGTCTTGTTGCCCAGCAGGATCAGACACGTCTCTTCCGCTGCCAGGTCCTGTCGACGGACAGTGGACACGGGGGTTAGAGGCAGGCGCGGGGACGGGGTGGTTAGAACTCAACGCGGGTCACGTGGGTCATGGTGAATTCAGACATCGGAAAAAAGACTAAGGATCGAGACGTCACCTAAGCGATCAAGGATCAGATGATGACCGAAATCCCGAAGATAAAAAAACGCAATTCAACGGGATAATTTTGTGAAGGTACACATGCATTCCGAAAGATGCGCGCTGACAAATGCAGCTCACAACGTTTTTAGATTTGTTGACCGCTTTCTGCTTGCCAGCCCGGCTCGGCATCTCGTTTCCCAGGATGGGGTATCTTTACAACGACACATCACAGCTTAATGCCTTTTGCAGCATAAGGAGGAACAATTTTTGGGCCTGTACGGGTTATCATAGATTGCTGTTGGCGTGAAGGCTGTATGATTAGCCGTCGCGTCGGTGCACCGTTGAAGTGAAACGCAGAATTAACTTTAATTAATTAGGCAAAGTAAACTAGCATCTTGCCATTCAGCTACAGAGCGTGGGTAAAACCGGGTCCCAAGCCCTGAAGGCCCGGCCACGCAGCCTTACGACACGACACGACACGACACGGCAGTGCACGGCACGGCACGGCACGGCACAACACCAAAACCGCCTGACGAACGCGCGATTCGATAGGTAAAATTGAGGAGCGATATGCGCATCCATTCATGATCCTGTGTGGTAAGACAAATCAGTCGTGAAAAATCCACTCCACACCCCATTTCCTCCTTGTTTCTGTTATTATTGCGCAGGGGTCAGAATATGACACGGCCTCAGTTTGAAAAATGACTGTGATTCTGCTTCTAACTTTAATTTTAACATCCACATCTATTTTTATCACGTGGCGTCGCGACCTAGCGGAGCGCGCCCTATGGTCAACTGTGGCCATCTGAAGATGGCTAACGGCTCCAGGAGCAACATCTGGAGCCATGCAGCTCAAACTGGTCGAACTAAAGCTCGTTATCAATGCTGACCTTGACGTTCTGGATCCATTCCCTGCAGTTGCGGAACGACTGTCTCGGTGGTGACGTCGAACATGACGAATACGCCGTCCGCCTTGCGGAAGTACTGTTTGGTGATGCTGCGGAAACGCTCCTGGCCTGCAGCATCAGCGAAACATGATATCAGTTCCGCAACCGCGCAACATGACACCCAGCAGTATCATTAGCTCAGTGGCCGCACAACATGACACTCAGCAGTGCGCCAAATCACCGGCCGCACAACATGGCACTCAACAGTGCGTAAGATCACCGGCCGCACAACATGACACTCAGCATTGCGCCAAATCACCGGCCGCACAACATCACACTCAGAAGTGCGCCAAATTACCGGCCGCACAGCATGACACTCAGCAGTACCATCAGCTCAGCGGCCGCAGATCATGACACTCAGCAGTGCGCCAAATCACCGGCCTCACAACATGACACACATCAGTGCATGAGATCACCGGCAGCACAACATGACACTCAGCAGTGCGCCAAATCACCGGCAGCACAACGTGACACACAGCAGCGCGTCAGATCACCAGCAGCTCCACAGTCGCTGGCACGAAGTAAGATGTGGCAGGTGCCTATGCTTTAGGCAAGAGTAAATAAAAACGGACGCATAGGCATGCAAGCGAATGACGTAATGTGGTTCAAGACAGGGAAGCATATGTTCACAAAGAAAGCCAATATTGGCAATTGAAAGATTGCAGAAAACAGCCATTAACAGTTTGGTTAGCATCTTTTGTTGTTCGCGGAAAAGTTCGCCGCGCGGTAGGATTTAAAACAAGTTACGGGCTTCTGGGATTTTGCCTGAATGTTTGTGTTCGTAGTGGTTTCAATAGCACATTTTTTTGGCAAGCGGTTTGATGGAGTTAAACAGTGGGCCACTTGAACGCCTTTATCAACCTGTGTAATAAACCGTGGCTTCGCCAAATATTAGAACACGTTTTATGACGTTAATTCGTTTTTGCTGGGTACATTGCTGCCCAAAAGCATGGCAACGCGACGCAGGCATTTTGGGAATGACGTCATGGAAGACAAACTTTGCATGAAGCTGGTTGCAAATTGCACACCTGGTTTCCATGATTGGTGAGCAATCCATTTCGTGCGCTGAAGAGCTTAGATATCCCGGACTCGCTGGACGCCTGCGTAAGTGAAGCCCAATCCTGGAAACCCTCCATGACACCAAAAATTGTGCGGATTCGCAGATGACCTGATGCTGGAGTGTAGATGTGTTGATCTCCCAGACAGCGACCCAGGGCTGATTTCCCCGACCGCATCACCGAGTGGGCTCCCCGCTATGGCCAGCCTGCTGTCTTCTCTCATGCTCTGTTTCAGCTGCAGGAGACTCGTCGGCTGTGGCCCAGAGTCTGCAGCCACGACTGAACTTTGGTGCCCCTTCACCGATGTTGACACCAATGGAACATGGACATCCCGGGACATTCCCAATATGAATGCCTTTCGGCGCCTTATTCTGCACCTCCTCTGAAGAAGGCCAAGTCCTCGCATAAATTGCTTCATTTTGAATGACAACATCTCAGAGCATAGCTTGCGGTTGTGTAAAATATCCACCTGTGGATTTTGCACCGCGCATGCGGTTCTCTAGAGCTGGATCCACACCTATGGTTTCCAGATTCGGATGCATTCCTGCGCTTTCTAGAGCCATACATCTACGAGCGGTATCTGAGGTGTGTTGTATCCCACAGATTGATTCCCACAGAAATCCCAATCACGTTTGAGATTGACGCTCATCTGCTGCGTCCAAGGAATGACAATCTGCTGCATCTCAGGAATGGCTACCTGCTGCATCTTCGGAATGGTTACCTGCTGCATCTTCGGAATGGCTATCTGCTGCATCTCCGGAATGGCTATCTGCTGCATCTCAGGAATATTTACCTACTGCATTTCAGGAATAGTTACCTGCTGCATCTCCGGAATGGTTACCTGCTGCATCTCCGGGACGGTTACCTGCTGCATCTTCGGAATGGATATCTGCTGCATCTCCGGAATGGCTATCTGCTGCATCTCAGGAATATTTACCTACTGCATTTCAGGAATAGTTACCTGCTGCATCTCCGGAATGGTTACCTGCTGCATCTCCGGAATGGTTACCTGCTGGATCTCCGGGACGGTTACCTGCTGCATCTTCGGAATGGTCACCTGCTGCATCTCCGGAATGGCTATCTGCTGCATCTCAGGAATATTTACCTACTGCATTTCAGGAATAGTTACCTGCTGCATCTCCGGAATGGTTACCTGCTGCATCTCCGGAACGGTTACCTGCTGCATCCCCGGAATGGCTATCTGCTGCACCTCCGGAATGGCAGCCTACCGCATCCTGCTGCATGCAGTAGGTTGCCATCTCAGGAATGGCCACCTGCGCCACCGCAGATCCAGATCGTCGCCTCGGCTACGTCTCAGCTGGCCGGGTGCTGGACCCCAATCCCCACTGGCGGTATCCCAAATGGACCCGCCTGCAGCATCCAGGGACTGCATTCCTGCTTGGAATTTCCCAAAGCTGGGTCCCATCTGCAGTACCTCAGAGCTGGATCTGTGCCATCTGTATCTCAGACCTTGATCAACACCCATGACATCTTAGGGCTGTGTGCCCAACTGCGGTGTACCAGCACTGATCCCACCTACGCTTCCTCGGAACTAAATACAGTCCTGCGTCACCTTGGATCTGGATCCCTGCCTGGTGTATACCGGATCTGGGTCCCTGCATTCAGTACCCCGGAGCTGGAATATTACCCGCAGTATCCCTTGGCTAATAGTTACCTGCAGTATGCCAGGGTTGGGTCCTTACCTGCAGTACCCCAGACCCGGATCCCTACCTGCAGTATTCCGGAGCTGGATACCTGCCTGCAGTATACCTCGGCTGAATCCCTACCTGCAGTATCCCTTAGCTGGACCCCTACCTGCAGTATCCTACAGCCGGATCCCAACCTGCAGCATCCTACAGCCGGATCCTTACCTGCAGTATCCAACAGCCGGATTCCAACCTACAGTATCTCAGGACTGGATCCCTACCTGCAGTATCCCAGAGCTGAATGCAGACCGTCTGGTCGTCCACCACGACCGTCTGCACCTGGAAGTCGACGCCGATCGTGGCGGCGTAGCTGGGTCGGACCTCGCCCGTGCAGAACCTGCCGCAGAGCACGGCACCGCGTCTCACGGCATGACCGGCATCATCAGCCATAGGGGCATCGGCACACGAGCTGCCCGGCGGCGGCTGCTGGCTCCGGGGACGGGACAGCTCCGGTCAGAAGCCAGGGCTTCCGACGGACACTGGTTGCCACCAGACGCGTGCAGGGCGGGAAGAGAACGTCTCTGCTGGGAACGCTCGTAAGAGAGCCGTGGCGAGATATGCTGTTGTGGGCGAGGTGGAATGGTTCTCTCGGTTCTGTCGACGTCAACGAATGCAGGGCATCTGTACACGTCCCTTGCGTTTCAATTCGATGAGGCGCATTGTTGTACTTAAGCTCAGTGTAGACACATTCAGAATGACATTTAAAGGTCAACATGCAGTATTGATTACTAACCGCCACTGGCTATTTCGTGAAAAAAGAAAACCCCTCCGGTTTCTCGATTTCTAGCGAACACAATCTCCTGTTTCCTGGATCTAACCGGCTCTTTGCGAAGACGTGCTTGGTTGTTGGTTCTCGCTGATGTCTTTGTAAATGACGGTTCTGGTTTCTGGTTTCCACCCGTGTTTTCAATAAATACCAGACTGGTTATTTGTTTCCTCTAGTTTTCTCACAGACAACATGCTTACTGGTTCCCAATGGTTCTGTGACAAAAACAAGCCTCCTGGTTCCGCGTTCATTTTTGTTTTGGGTTCAAATGCTAAGCACAGATAATGGCAGTTTTCCCCAAGTTGGGATGAAAAGGGGATAGCCAATGTTAGCAAACTCCTTCCAGCCAACGCCAAACGGGCCAATAAAATTTATCCGAAGGTGACAGCCTCAGCTCCATGCCCGTCCCCTAATCCCGCTCCCGCTCCCGCGCCCCAGCTGTATTGATTTTTGTTGGTTCCCCGGATGCGATGGACGGCCAATAAACGCTCAACATAGGTTCAAAAACGTTGCGTTTTGAATATTATAACATGCAGTGGACCACTCAGTGCTGGGCATGTGGGAAATATATCGTGACTGCGTGACGGTACTTCGCGAATATCAGGCGCCCGAAGCGTCCGACTCTTTGTGGTTCCCTCGCCCCAGTCCATACTGAACAATGGTTCTCTCTGGAGTCTTTGGCTCCAGCTTCGGACTGGAAATTGTTTTTGCTGGATTCCTTGTCATCATTTCAGCCTGGATGTTAGTCATATAGGGATCCTTTTGAACACCCCAGGCTGCGAACTGGCCGTTGCTAAATCCTTGAGATCACTGCCTGGTTCAACCCTGAATGTAATTAGCGCCCTTCGCCAAACATCGGTACTGGATCCTAGGCCATGCGGGTATGCTGGACACCCTGCTTGATTTCAGACTGATGTATGAGATTTTCTTAATTACGCTACCATACATCGGTTTACGGGAAGAAATCTTGGGAACCAACGCATGCCAGCCCGATAGGCTTCTGTTCTTAAAGGCAATGTTTCACATTTGAAGGTACTGAAGCGAGTATTAGATACGATGAAACTAGGTCATTTATAGCTTTTAGAATGCTTTCAAGTAGAAAAGACTGCTCTAGACAGCGCAATTCTCTTTTTAGTAAATGTGCTCCTCAATGCATCACGGTTTGATTGCATTGTCGTACTTCGCACAACATTGATTGAGGGTCCATTGAGTGCCGCTACATCTGGAAATCGTGCAGACGAACGCCAAATATGAACGCCTCGACAATCATATTTTTCTTGGCCTTGATCACCGCATAACATATGCAATGGCAGAATATAACTGACGTTATCATGACGTCATGAACGCCAAGATGACTTTGAAACGCTTCTCCCGGATATACCTTTCCCCAGTTTCGCGGGCGCGTAGCTCAGAAACTAGAGGGGCTTTGGTCTTAGGAAGGACAGGTCTGTGAACAGCACTGAAGTATTTTGAAATGGCTATTTCAGTTCAAAACCCCATATAAATGTGGAGCAACTCTTTAAGCGTGGGTCTCGTGCGCGTGTGGTTGTGTACGTGCTGTATACTGGCCCACAGCCTGTGTAAACTCTATTAGGCTCCCTTATCAATTTGAAACGGCTCCAAGTATGCACACCACAGACGGCAACCCCAGCTCGCCGCTCGCTGAGCAGCGACGTCGAACGATTTCTGTGCCGTGGCTGGAGGATGTCCCGCGGCCGCTGACTTCGTGTCACCGACAGCCGCTGTCCTGCATTGGGGCAGGACATCAGGCGCTTACGCTTAAGTGACATGTGGGACAACCAGGATATAATGGGTCAAGTAATGGACCAGGCCTATCACGGGGTGACTATTTTGTGAGCGTGATCCTGGTGAATCTTTCTTCTCGAATTATGTAGCCTGATTGAGAAGGCCACTTACGTGTCTTTACTTGCGATTTTTGCCGGGCGAGGAGCGGGTATCCAGCTAGTACAACATGGATAATGCCATTTACCCATGCCAGAGTACATCAGATACACCCGTCACGCTTTCGCGGCTCTTTCTCGTCTTTTAGTCTTTTGCGGGTCTCATTTCTGTCGGGTCTCCGATGCGCCCCGTACGCGATGATACAGGTCACGCAACTTGTGTTTCGAACCTTTTCGGACCTGAACTGCAACACTCGACTTCCTGATATGCCAGGTGTGGTTGACCCATTACCTTGCTCTCAACGGTGTTCATTGCACAGTTATAGAATACTGGCGTTCGGCCACAAATTTTTGGCTCTCTGCGAATCGGATCTCCTTGCGTACTGGTTTCGAAGGTGCGAAATGATTTTAAGACGACCGTTATCAATGCTCACTACACTGGAGGAAACAATTCAGTCAGTCATTGCAAGGCAAGTCTTGTGCCAACTTCAGATATCCAACAAAACCATTGGATCACGAACCGACACGGGTAAGGTTTGTCGATTGTGTGAATATTGTGTTCATAAATTGTGTGTGTATGTTCAGTATTGTGTCCAGTTAAATGCCCGTATCGGGTAGAGTGAGGTCTTTCAAACCGTCATTATCTACACCTAACCAATAGCCATCTTCACGATGGCTTTCATGGACTAAAAGTCTTAAAAGATGTTTAAAGGTCTCCATGAATGTTAAGTATATGCTATGCACTGTGAAAAAGGGAGGATTGCTTTCTTGCAATGCCATCAACATGCAATAGGTAAACGCTTATATTCAGCTAAGAACAAGTGTGGTATGTCAAACCACAACTTTTGTAGACCTTTTGCAGGCTGTATCTCTAGTTCACCCAAATTCTACGAAAACAACAAGCCTAACATTCAGCAATATGAATTGGTTGGGGGCGTTGAATGCTGGATGCTCCATTTATGTTTTCATCGGTTCTGTGTGGAGCATGACAGGCTTTAAGGATCATTTCATTTAAAGATCCTCACCTTGGATCATGTAAAGGTATAACAATGCTGTAAGCTCTGTACATATTGTAAGCAAGCTCTGTGAGTGCTCTAAGTACTGTATGCCTATGAACAAGGACGCTACAAGGACATGGGAGTTTGTTTTGTCACGTCTGAGTCAGAGATGCCGCCGAATAGTTTTACTAAGTTTTGAAAAGCTTTGGTAGGAAGAGGTCTGACAGCAACTCTGTCCATAAAAAAGAGTCTCGCTTACAGCCAGGTGACGGCAATTTCATCAAATTATGCGTCTATACAGACATGTTATTAAATCTCATCGAAATATTTATAGGCGAAAGTTACTGACAAAAGGCGTGCAGTTAGAAATCACACGGGGAAAAGCGGTGTGCAAAGGTTTAAAACAGTTCGCCATCGTGATCCGTCGGGAAAAAGGGTAATCATACGCCTAAAGTGATCATGCAAATTTTGATGCAATCGCCGAAATACTAACAATTGTGGAAAGATAAGTAAATGCAAATGTCACTTGGAGTGAAGTATAACAACCTCCAAAAACAAGGAACCATCATGTATTTTTAAGACAAGAGTGGTGCCAGACCACAAGTGCGGCAGCCGTGTTTGGCTGCGGGCGGGTGTCAGGACGCTCGCGCTGTACCATCTGACAGAGAGCAGCAGACGCCTCCTTCGCAGGTGCTGACCGTCGTCACCGGCTCGGCCGGCAGCTGATGACGGGGGAGTCGTGAGACTCGCTTCCGCCCGACGGCCTTCGGAGCCCAATGGACCACCCAGATAATAAAGCCCGATTTCCCAGCCAGGAGCCTTAGACCTGAGCAACAGTGAAATTGATACAGATTCTTGCTGAATAGATCAGGAGAACAATGAGAGGACTGAGAAGAACCTGGATAACTCGTGGGTAGAATATGATCCAAAAAAGTTCAGTTCAGAAGGGCGGAAAGATCGACGCGAAGCTGCCTTTTATGACATCAAGCGTCACAAAAGACCTCTCGGGGACGCAGGTCTATGTTGCAGTATTACGACTGGACAGGTTCAAAACTTCTAGACCTCAACAGTCACTTTGTCCTTGAACTATCAATTCGAAAGAAAAACCAACATATGTCCACAAAAATTAGTTTTCGTGGCAAACCAAAGATAAAAGATCTGTGGACTATAATGAAGCAAACGGCATGTGGGCTGTTGACGGAACTTGGCACGGATCCAAGACCACAGCAGCCGCCGCCTGACATTTACCAAAGGTCAGCCGGTGACTGGCTGGGGTCTGGCAGCTGGTAGCTCGCCGAGCCGCACCATCGCACCGCAGCACAAAAATAGCTCTGAGCGGCCAAAAACCCGGGAAGGGAACTCCCTGAAAAGCTGGAGCGGCACAGCTGTGACGTGCGCGCGGGCTACACGCAACATGATGGTCTTACCACGGCCTCTTGGACAGAGACGACATAACTCAGGGACCGTGGCGCCGTCAGCCTATCCCGATTTGGCAGCGGCGGTGGGGAGGCGGGGTCCAGGCCGGGTAATTTCCGCTGACAGGAAATGTTGGCTTGCAACGTCTGCACACGTTGCGAGACTGCAATGGCTCCGGTAATGGATAAGCTGCAGGTTGCATGTCGGAACCACGTCTCGCGACTAACGCCGGTACGGGCCTGCAGGCTCTTGCGTGGCTTCTCTTGTGTACGAAGCCACCATCGCAGACTTTTCGTTCGGAGCAAGCGTCTAAAGCGGGTAGCGCATCGAACCACCAGCACCCTAGCCGGTGGGCGTTTGACCTCTGACCGATCTCTGACCTGTCTGCACCTCTGACCTCTGGACGAAGCTGGACTTGCCGACCCCGGCGTCGCCAATAATGACCACCTTGTACACCCTCTGCGGCTGGATGATCGTCGACGTGGCCGAAGGCGTGGGCGAGCCCTGCAATGTCAGACACAGTACTTGTGAGCCCTGACAGAAAGTATGCCCCACCCCTCCCCCAATCACTGGACATGTCAGATATCACACCAGTGCTTCATTCTCTAGAGCCGCCAATCACTCTGCTCGTGCTTCCCCCACTTTGTATGCCCGACACTACGCGGCTGTTCCCTTCGTGGGGACCGACAGATAAAAACAGATATGTTCCCATAAATATGTGGTGAGCTGAAGACATACTTTTCGTGATAACATGATTTCTGTATGGGACTTTCCGGCAAAGTTCTATGCGGTTTTGCCTTCGTGTTCGGATTCCAGACGAATGTTCGGGGTTGTTGTGAGGGTGTGGGGGGGAGGGGGGGGGGGGTACAAAGCTCCACCCACGCTACCTCACGATGTATTCGTGTTATCTTCACCTGTCTATCAATCAATGGGCAAATGTTTTGTCCCCAAACCAATCCGACACGGCAACGACACCTGCATTCGTAACCGTGCTTCATTTTCTAGAGCCGCGAATCATCCTGCTCGTGCTTCCTCCACTTTGTATGCCCGACACTGCGCGGCTGCTGCCTTCAGTGGGGACCGACAGATAAAACAGATGTGCTCCCATAACTCCTCACGCCTCCATACCTCCCACGTCTCAATCACCCTACACGAGAACAAGCCCGCAAAGTGCTTCAGATCCAGTCTCTGGGAAGATTCGGCAATACGCTCGTCTTCCCCCACTCTGCACATCACAGGCTAAATTCACGTTTCCACTACTTGACATGTCCAAGCCCCACCTGTGCTCCTTCCATCGCGGTATCTGTAGAACATTGACCGTTTGAATAACTGGCGGCCCATATTAAACACAAGGATGAAGTTATGAAGGTAAACTTTGTTGGCGTCTACATATCTTTATATTTTATAGACTGTACAACTTAAGGAGTTTTAAAGAAGGGAGGGCTGTAAAGTGCACCGAGTGATCTTCAAGATGACTATTTCAGCTCAACACCCCATTCAAATGTGGAACACTTGCCTTAAGAACGATGCCATTATTCAACCTATTTTTGTTTATTCCTGACCTGGGTTGGCTCATAAACAGTAGCCGGACAGTAAGTGTCAGTGTCCCCGCGAAGGCATTCCGTGTATAACTTTTGAATCATCAAAACGCAGAATGCATCTTCACAATAGTGTTAGTTTGTCATGGTGGTTCGGGGAGCAATTTCTGAGGACGTCAGTCTCTGCAAAATTCCCTATTTTGATTGGTGCAAAATACCGCGCTTATTTGACACTGGATCCGCCTGGACAATGTCGGAGTTGGATCCTGAATCCGCTTGGATCACCGTCGGATCCAGACAGGTGGGCCCGTTTATCCTTTCAGCGAGCTATAAATGACAGGAGACTACCAAGGCCTTGATGCGGCCTCGGTCCCAATTTTAACTTACTACAGAATGTCAAACGCAAGATTTTACCTGCTAGAAATGTTTTACATGTATACATACATACAATACATACATGCTTTTCCTGCTATGTGCAAAGGATGTTCCTGCACCAGTAACATGCGTCAGGAGCATGGGCGTAGGAACAGGGGGCCAGGGAGGCTATGCCCCCCCCCCCACTTTTCAAGGTGGGGGCCAGCAATGTTAACTGCCCCCCCCCTTTTCAGATTAAGGTTGCATTTGGCTTACTTTTGCACCATATTAAACATGCATACCTATTTTCTTAGTTCATCGGCCCTCTTCCTTAAGATGCGTCATCTTTTTCGTTTGCTCATCGGCCATCGCTTAGTATTACAGCCGCAAAGCCGACGCCGCATGGTCTGGAGACTGCAGCGCCGGGCGTCGAGGCTGTTATTGCTATGACTTGCGAGCACGCATGTACAACACCATATTACGTAGTCTTCTTATCAGTGATTAGCTCTGACTGGATCTTTAGCATTTTGAGACGAACATGGGTTAGCCATGTCAATACAAATTGGGAAACCCGTTTCATCTACAATCTACAGTCCAGGGAGAACTCAATATCTCTGAAGAACACAGAAAAACACGGAACTTGGGTCTATGTGACAACTATCGGACTACCTGCGGTGATCAGGGATGTTCTGACGTCAATGAGGGTTCCTGTGCTGATCCGGAGCTAACTGCGCGGGTCAGATGGCCTCCCGTGCCAGGGATGGGAACAATGTGCTATGATATATCCTTCTAATGGCCTCCTGATCGACCAGGAGATCCCGCCCCGTGCCACCAGAATGATAGCCAGAGGACACTTTGCGATGGGACGGAATGGCCATTCAGCCCCTTGTTGTAATGGCCTACTCATTACCGGAAACGATAATGTACCCCTGGTGTTCTACTCAAGGGGCCCCTTGCTCGGAAGGAAATAAGGGGTCTCATAATTGTTGAGTAGAGTGGGGCTCTCATTACTGTTGAATGGCGCGGGTCGTAATATTTTTTTTTTAAAATGAGCAAGCTCATGCCATGTGTGCCTGAGGACGCTCATTTTCAGAATGTATTATTGAAAGCAAATTAAATCCAAAGGCTTAAACATGCCCGCCCGCAACCTCGAGAGCAGAGACAAGGATGGCCTGGGCAGCAAACTTCCGTAAGACCGGAAAGTTTCGGCCACTGCAAGTGCCACCAGACGGTGGTCGCCACGTTCAATCTGTCTTCTGGACAGATAAACAGCTGCGAAAACACGAAAAATAGAGATTTTACCACCACTCTTCCAGTTCAACCACCGGATTGCAGCCCTACCTCGCGGTGCTTTAGGGGCCAATCCGCTCTTTTAATCAGTCTAAAAATCCCACACGCGAAATATGGGTTCAAGCTGCCTTTTAAATACAATATCTGACGTCATGAAGCGTCCAAGGATGCTTTCTCACAAGTGTCGTCGTTTTAGTCCACCCGTTGGCCACAATTTAATATTAACTGCGGCGCCGACGCTGCGCGGCTTACGGAGACTGCAACGCCTGGGTCGAGACTCGTGTTTCTAAATTTTTCGAGTGCACATGCTCACAGTTACGTCACATAGCTTGTATTAAAGTCGGTTACAGTGTTTAAAGGTAACAATTTCAGAAAGCGTTATTATTTTCGTCCATCAGCGGGCCACGGCTACATATTAACTACCGAGTTACAGCTCCGCGGACTACGGAGACTGCAACGCCTGGTGTCGAGGTTTTTGTTGCCAAGATTTGCGAGTGTGCACGTTAAAAAAACACGTTACATCAATCGTATCACTAATCGATGCTGACTGAATGGTGAATATTTTCGGACAAACATGGCTTGGCCGTGTTAGTACACATTGTTCACCACTCGATCTGCAATCAAATTTTCGTCTTCAAATTTGGACCAAACATATCGATCTACAATCTACCTTCGCGATGTCATCAATGTCTGTAGAACCAAGATAAAAAATTGGCAAAGCTCCTGATTTCTATCGGCTTAGAAAGTCAACTAACCATTGTAAATTAATAGCGCCCGTGATTTCTTCCATGCAGTCGCTTCAACACCTGCTTTCTGCAGTTTATTGACTCCAAAATGGAAACAGAATTGAGCTCACGGTAGCTCCTGGCTTCTGTTCTGGTTGCAAGTTAAAAATAACAATAAAATGAAGAAAGCCGTGTCACTCGTTAGCAAGTAAGCTATATCCGGATATTTTTTTTTGGGGGGGGGATCACCAGAAGATGGGCTTTTGTCAACCTTGCGTTCCTCCTTGGCAAGGCCCTGGCTACGCCCCTGCCTACACACAAAAGCAAATCAAGTCGTATACGTTGCATGATGGGCATTGCAGTGGCCTTTGGGCCAGTGCCTAATGCAGGCAGCTTCCCGGAAGCTATTTTTCTGCGATGCTGTGGTGTGAGGGAAGATTATTCGGAAAAAGATACTGATGCAGGTGTCCAACACATGTTTCATACACCATGTAGTGGTAACGCTGGTCACAAAGTATGCAACAAAACAGTCATGCAATCAGTTCGCAGTCAGTCATGCGGGAGACATCCGGGCCAGGGCGGTGGCCACCGACGTCGGGCAGGAGCAAAACCCAGATCAGAGACATATGACAAATTGGCCTTATTATGTGGCTTGATTCTTAAAAGAGAATCTCCAGTTTTATGGGTTTTATCACATTGTTTCTAGCAGCTTTAGGCTCCCGAATTTGTTTCGGCCGAAAATGCTACGACAAGTCTCATCTCCTGAAAAGCAGCCAGCGAAATGAAGGCTCATGAAAAATCTGTCGTACTGCGAGCCATCGATCCACTTTCAAAATTCTCACCAGCCTATCCTCGGGCCATATTTTGGCATCTACCCTGTGGAGATAGATGACTTTGCAATGACCCAAAATGCCTACCTGCTGGGGGAATTTCCCCAGGAAAGACAGTGTTAGAATGGACGAATAATCTGGGGAAGCCGGATAGCCTTATTTTCCGAATGACATAGATGAGTCGGATGGGCAAAACTGTGCACCAGTGAGAAACAGCTCTAGACGCGTATCCAGAATAGCAGTCATTACATTTGAACAAAGAGCGATAACATCCTCCGTCCCTACCCGCCCCCCCCCCCCTCTGGCCATCGGCTCACTTTCCAGAAAAAGTTCCTGAAATACACCCTGAGCTTGACCCCCCCCCCACACCTTTTAAAACTACGCCCATGGTCAGGGGCATGCGTCCGCGTCTGCGTTTACGCCTGCGTCTCAATCGTTCGGACCATCATTACAGATTGAAACCTCATGCGTTACAACGTGCTCAATACATCTGAGATCTTACATAACCGAATCGATCGCTCCCCACTGATCTCCAGCGCAATTAAGCGCGTACAAATTGGTTCAAGATCCCCGTTGGCCGCGCCGCGCTCATCTGGAGCCTGATCAGGCCGGCGCTGCTGGGAACGAGGAGCGGCGCCCCCCCCCCCCCCCCGGCCACCTCTCACCTGTCTCGCGGTGCCGTTTGTCAGCGCCTCGGGTCGCTCGGGGTCGACACGCGGAACCTGACCCTGGTGGTAGATGAGCAGCGTCGAGGAGTGGTGGCGGTCGCTATGGCAACGTGCCCTGGGGGTATCATCAAACACGGCGGTCCATAATCACACGCGCCGGTAACACAACACTTAAAGTTTTAATGATGAGGCGGAAGTAATGGATAATGAGACAGCTTTTTCACCAGGAAGCTGCTACTGTCTGGCCATTTGCCATTACCAGTGAGGCCTCTGAAAGGCTCACACCATCTGAGAGGAAATGCTGCTCTTGGCAGAAACGGCAGACCTTGGCGAACGCTCTGATAGAAAAAAGGACTTGTCGGGAGCTATGGTCATATCACGCGGAATAGCGCCAACACGACTGCCATGCGTTGAACATAACGCATTGTTGCCCTCAGCAGGGCGACCTTACTGGAAAAACAGTAATAAGAAGATAAGATTGATAAAGAATCGCACGACACCAGAAGTGCTCAAAGGCGCTACAAACCGTCCACTACCGAGGATATCCTGAAACGTCCAATTCTGAAAAAAATCGGTCGACGTGTGATCTGTAAACTGAGTCTTTGCCACAGACCGGGGGTGATGAAGTCAGTTTTCAACAATGCTGCCGATTACACAAAATATCTCACCTTTCTATCTATCTGTCTGGCTATCTATCTATCTATCTATCTATCTATCTATCTATCTATCTAGCTATCTATCTTTCCCTCTCTCTCTCTCTGCATGTACAAATACCTTTACACATATATGCACATACACACGCACACACACACACATATATATATATATATATATATATATATATATATATATATATGTGTGTGTGTGTGTGTGTACAGCGTAAATGTGTGCTGAAACAGGTACTAAACGACGCACAGCGTAACTGCATGATTAAACAGGTAGTAAGCGACGCACAGCGTAATTGCATGATTAAACAGGTAATAAGCGACGCACAGCGTAACTGCATGATTGAACAGGTAATAAACGACGCTAGAAAGCAATCCGGCATCCAAAAGACTAATATATGCCAAGAAGCAAATGATGGCTGCTTCGTGGTTGTTAAACAAACAAGAATCGAATACATTAATTTCGACGTCATTTACTTACGACGTAGTATAAGCCTTAGCCGCTTAGGTTTATCAGGCACGCCAACGAATTGTCGAAATGTTTAAGATGGCAGATCAGCAGGATAGACCCTGGACCGTGCTTGCCACACTGCAGGCCTCTCTATGCACAGCTGCACGTAAGAAGGAAATATAAAGCTGTTTCATATCAAGTTTGACATCACATTCCTGCAGCATTTCGATCATCAGTAACCAAAGAGAAACAAGGAATCAGCGCTGGCAAATTCAGCCCGGCGCTATTACGAAACGACACATCAGGAGGTCGGAATCTGGCCGAGCCTGGGCCTGAAGATCCCACGATGACGTCACCATGAGGATGCCCAAGGCATTTATGTGTAGCAGTTATTACGACGCTGTTCTCTCTATAATGATTTCCAAGTACTTCTAAGGCGCTCTTTCCTGTACAGTGAGCCTCAAAACGTTTGTTAGTAAGTATCCTAGCCATACCCGGGACAGCAGAGCTACAGCTGGTAGTAGGTCTCCCAGCCATAGGCGAGCCAAAGGGCTGCGGCTGGTCACATATACCAACACCAACCCGTGCCACTGCATGCCGCTTTTCATCCGATAGGGGCGGCTCTTACTAACGTTTGATTTTCACCCGTCTCAATTTGTTTTTAATTAAGCATTTGATTACATTATCACTCTAGCGGTCACCGACTGTTTCCGACTTGCTCTCCAGAAACGGTGATCTCGTACTGGCGAATCATAGGACCGAACTCGATCACGTCGATGGAAGGTAAATGTTCGAGTGTGCAACTAATAAAAAGCGGCGACAGGGGCTGCTTTCAATGCTGACACGCGACCGGGGGGGGGGGGGGCAATTTGACCCCGGAAGTTTTTATAGCATGGTTTCCGAACAGCGTGGCGTAGGCTCGCTAAACATTGCATAGCTGTAGGCAGTTAAACAGCGGATGTTTTCGAATACAAAATGAAATACACCTTAAAAGGTCACTGACCTATGCCAGGTCAAAGCCAGGCCGTAGCTGTTAGCGAATGCTTCTTCTAGGGAATATTTTAATCTGATGCAATAGCGGAGTGTTACACGAAGCCGCCTCTGCACAAACTCTGATATAGTTTCCTAGACTACAATGCAACTGAATTTATGATAACAAAGTCCATTGATCTAGGATCAGGTATGAAGGTCAGACCGAGGCCTAAACCTGCCTGGTTTTTTGCCGGAGAGCTTATGGCAGGGTGTATTTCTAGTGCTCATTTAAGACTTGTTAATAACGTGGATCGCACCACGCATCTTCCTTGGATTTCTTAAAGTGAACGTTCCATATTTGAAGACATTGAAGTAAACATTAGATGTGATCAAATACGCTTACTTATAACTATTGATGTACTTTTAAGTGGAAAAGACTGCTACAAACAGCACAATTTCTCTTTTCAGTAGATATGCTCCTCAATACGTCGTTTTTTGATTGCATCATCGATATTGCGCAACATTGACTGAGAGACAATTGATGGCCGTCATGTCTGCGAATCGTACTCACGAACGTCAGATATGAAAGACTCGGCAACTCTATTTGTCTTGGCCTTGATTGCAGCATGGCCAGTGCAGTGACAGGCTTTGCAGGAAGTTGTTAGTGTTAGGAAGTTGTGAAACAGTTTGCACAAAATAGTCTGGAAATGTTTGCGAGCATACAACTCAGAAACTAAAGAGATTTAAGTCTTAAAAAGCACAGGGTTGCGGAATGCACAGAATGGTCTTCAAGACGGCCATTTCAGTTCAAAGCTGCATACAGATGCAGAACTCTCCCTTTAAGAAGCGTTGGGGTTGGGTGGCCTGCTTACACCTCCCCTCCCCCCCCCCCCCCGGTAGTTTTTTGCCTACGAATTGATTCCGTGCCGTCGCCGTAAGGACGAGGCGCGGCTTTGTCCGGCATCGTCAAGCTACTGGCTTTCGAAGCCGCCGGCGGCCGCTGGACCTCTTTGACAGCAATGCCTGCCATCCAATCTGGACTGGTCAGCGCGACACGTGCCGCTGCCTTTGTATTGCCAGCCCATCCAGGGTTAGGACTGGCTGTCGAGGAATGTCGCTGGCCCGATAGTTATCTGCCAACATGTCATTCAGCTTCTCTGAAAAGAACGCGTCTGCTATTGCCTTTTTAAAGGGAGTGTTTGGGTCTTGCAACAGATTTTATTCATTTATCCTTATCAATCGTGTCGGTTGCCGTGCGTGAACAAATGCAATGATAAAACATGAACCAATCAGCAGACAGAAAATAACGAGTGCACTGGCTCACGTGTGGCGAGCAACCTGCGCGCTAGTGATATGGCCACGGTTTTGTTTGCTACGGTCTGGTGCGTATAGGGAGAACGCTGGCGGTATAGAGCGGAACGCCCTTGAAGATCCCTTACGTAACTCGAGACGGAAAAATATGACACCCTGAGCATGCCTGGTGTGCCAGCGACATCCGCAGCAACAGTTTCAGCGCCGTGTGCCTTGCCATTTCCAAGGTGACTAGAGAAGGCTTACAGAGACATGACGTGACCATGGTCCTAAAATTTCGTAGCCCTTAGAATGTTTTTTTGGGGGCTGATATCGCTCGAGGGTTGGTGGATGGTAGTAACATGAAAACGAACGGAGATTTTGCCAATGAACTGGGTAGCCATCCTGTTCTACATCTTTATTTCAATGTTATGTGCATAGATATTGTGCATTTTGCATTAAAAACCTTCTAAAGACAAATCAGTAGTACGATCTGCTTCCAAAAATGCATCCTACTAAACCGCGTTTTCTACCTTCAGCGCACGTGCCATATTCGTTGTAGCCAATGTGCCTGAACACTTATATGTAATGCCTCTTTGTGAAAGTATATTCAGGGGCGCATCCAGAGGGGTGGCTACGGGGTCATGCTCCCCTTGGCCCCGCAGGGTCCATAGGCTTCGAAGAGGTCCATAGTTGACTCACCAGGTGTAGTTTTTTTTAACACAAAACTCACAGAATTGGACATCAGGCAAGCAAGAACAGCTGCAAGCAAAAGTGAAGGCCCCACGGGAAAAGAGAAACCCTTAATGAGTGAAAAAGCTGATAGTTGGGAGATGTTAGCCTTATCACGCCGTCCAGGTTTCTTATGCTACTTCCGGGGACATATATGCTCACGTGCAAGTTCACTCAGATCATTAAAGAGCCTTCCACGTTGCCTTTGATTTCTTTGCGTCTGCTCGAAGGGCCCTGCACTGTCCCTTCCTGCCAGCGTGCCTGGAAGCTCTTCTCAATCAAGGGGCCTTCTACGGATTCTTTTCATTCGCCAGGAAGACTCTGTGGGCTAAAGCCGGGCCCATATGTTTAACCTGCTGGGGTTTTCTTGGTTGCTCGGGGGCCCTTCACGTTGGTCTCGGTTAACCTACCGACACATGTATGTGCACACGTAGCACGACTAGCCTCAAAGGGCTGCGCATAGTGCAGTGAACACCCTTATCTGTTAGACATATATATATATATACATATATATATATATATATATATATATATATATATATATACTATTTGTATAAAAGATGACTGGCCAAAACACAATAATTTTTTGGAACGGGCCCAAAAACTTTTGGGGATACTACATTATTTTGTGGCCTCTTGACGAGATTCACCCCGTGTATACTTGCTCGTAAATAATCGAATACCATGCGTAATGTTTACATTAACACGCGCTCGGGTGGGGGTCATATTGACCGCTACCCCGAAGGTTTTTCAAGAATGGTTTCCGAACGGCGCGGTGTAGCGGCGCCAAATTTTGCATACCTGTTGACAATTTAATAGCGGATTGTTTGATGAAAAATTTAATATTTGCCTTTAAAGGTCGCTGGCCTATGGCAGGTCAGTGTCAGGCCACGGTTTTATCGAAGCTAATTTCCAGGGAATCGTTCAATCTAATGCAACAACAAAGTGTTAAACGAAACCATACGTCTTTGAAATGTTTTCTTAGACAACACAACAATTGCACGA